CGTTTGTAGAGGCACCGTGTGAGAATATTATAGATGGGTGTACAAAGGATCAACTAATAAAAATTGCTGATTACTACAAGGTTGATGTTGGTGATAAAAAAAAAACTATTAAGACCATAAGGGCAAGTTTAAAATTTCATTTATTGAAAATGAATGTGTTGGACACAAACAGTTGTTCCTGTCTCTGAGGGTGTTGAGGACTTTTCTCCGCCATCAATGACTCCTGATGTCGGTTTAACTTTTGAGCAACAAAAAGAATTACTTTTGTTGCGGATGAAATTAGAGATGGAGAAAGAACTTGCGGTGGAAAAAATGAGGCATGGTATTGAGTTAGAAAAAGCACTGTCACTTGAGAAGATAAGACAAGAAGCTGAAAGTGCAAAGCTTGATCTGGAAAAGCAGAAACGGTCTCTGATTAGAGAGGGAAAAGTTGTAGCTGGTGTTTTACTTGCTGATGGTCGCTCTGGTCCCAGCTGCTCCATGGAAAGGGTGGATGTTTGGAGGGAACTGAGATTGGTTCCTCAATTTAATGAAAAAGATCCTGAAACTTTTTTTGTCCTCTTTGAGCGCCTAGCTGAGACACGTGGTTGGTCTGACTCCACTTGCATGATATTGTTGCAGTGTGTGTTAACTGGAAGAGCCCAGGAAGTGTATTCCTCTTTAACACAGGGTTCACGTTCGATGAAGGCTTTGGCTGATGAGTTTAAGCATCCGACACATCAAAGGGCGGGACAATGTTGTGCCGGTGCATTGTCTCGGTCTTATTAGTTAGGTTTGTGTTGGAGCTATTTGTTTGTTTTGTAATATTTTATATTTAATATTTAGTTATTTATTTTCTGTAGTTTTCTTTGAGGAATGCACTTTGGTTTGTGGTGGTTGGTCTGAGTAGTTGTTGGTGCCTTTATTTTGACAGTTTTGGGTAGCTGGGGCGGGCTGAATCGACATATATGGGCATGTAGATGGGCTGGGCACCTACAGGGGTTCATGGTTTTTACCAGGGCTGAGGACAAAGCAAGGGTTTTTTATGTTCTTTGTTTGTTGCAAGCCAGTGGAATAAACTCCATCAACCTTCAATTTTTGGCTGGACAACGGACTCATTTCACCCCCCCTGCGTACATTAGTTCCCTGGGTGCCACAGTGGCTGGTTGAGTTTGATTTGAAGACAAACAGCCACTATAGTTTGTATGTTTTTTTTTTTTGTGTGTGTACTCTGCGTGAGCCTATAAAGAGTGATACTGGAGAAGACATTGTTTAGGGAAGCACTTATAGGTTGCTTAGGTGTCAGGGTTCCTTTGGGGACCCTGACTTTATGGGGGGGGGGGTGTTACGGCCCCAGAGCCTCTGTCTTCTCACTCTTACCTTGCAGGTTTCTGGCTGGGCGGAGCCTCCAATCTGCTAACCTGGTGCACCTGGCCAATCTCACTGACTATATAAGCCGGCCTGCTGTGCCAGATCGCTCTCTTCTCCCTTACCAGCCATGCTTCTGTGTTTGTCTCTTTTTGTTTCATGCTGACAACATGCACCACACATCAATCACTGCACTCATACACCCTCGCACACCACTGACGCTCACAATCACACCTCACGATTCTACTTTGTTTCAATAAATAGCCTTATGTTACAGCTGAATCCACCTGTGTGTTTCCTCCTTTGTTGCGGCCTAAGAGCCAGTCGTAACAGAAGACTACATTTTATAAAACATTCATTAACCTAAATAATCAGGTTTAGTCCCTATAAGGTTAAATTCTTTAACAAATAACTTTCTAATTTCAAAAATTAAGGCTGAGACTCTTAAAAATACATTGAAAATTAATAAACTAATCTACACTGGGACGTTTTTTCTGCACTCAGTACTTAGTTTTAACACTTTATGTACATTCGTTTTAACACAAGACTTGTACTGGAGTACTTTTGCTGCAGTACTGAGTATTAATACTTTTACCAGAGTAATGTTTCCCCCCATGGTGAAGGAGGAGCACAAACGCTTGTTTTACGTTAGAATTTAATAATTAAACGGTTTTCGGTTGTGTCGCCTCGTTGCCTGGAAACGGCCCGACTCCACGTTGCCGCGGCAACCGGGCAAACCAGCGCGCTCCGGCTGTGTGAAGACCTGAGGTGAGTAGAAAGTTATGAGGAATAAAAATGACTCTTTAAAGCTGCTGTCGGGATGTTTCAGCTTGGTTCAGGTTTCAGGTGTTCTGTCAGTTTAACAAAGCAGCAGCAGGTTTATCAGAGCGAGCTGAAGACGTTTTACTGCCCTGACAGCTGATCAGGTTCTGCTCTGAAGTACAAACTTTAAGATGTGACACCTTCTACTTTCATGGTTTTACTGCATCTGTCCGACAAGTTAAACATTTATATTACTCTGAATAAAACATGAATATTTTCTGACTACAGCTATTTTAATTATCGTTTCATTTAATTTTCATACAAGTGCAACAAACATTTCCTCATTCTAGCTTCTGGGTTATTTTAATATTCTTCACAACCAGCATCATGAAGGTGTCTCTGGTGGACTACTGGCTGTAAACTGGTATTATTCTGTATCACACACACGAAGAATAAAAGATAAACTACCAGGCTACAGCTGCAACAATCAGGATTTATAACATTAACATTTAAAACAAAAAACAATTACAGAAATCGATCTGCAGCTGTTTAAGTCAGTTTTCATACAAAAAAAAATCCAAAACTTTTCAAGATCCCAGCATCACATAAGTGAGGATTACATTGGGTTAGTTTGATGTTGGTGAGACTGAACAGACATCATGAAGCTGCTCTGGGGACAGTCAATGAATATTTCTACATTTATTTTAAAACTTTTAGTTATTAATAGGGTTCTATATAATACACGAGAAGACCTAAAATTAAACTAAACCATCCAAAAAACGGCTAAAATGATGGAAATGTTTTGGCTCTACAGTTATTATTTTATTACTGTTTTAGTAAATTCTACTAGGAAATATATCTGGAATGTAAATAATTCAACAAGGGCAGTACTCAGCTACTTCCTGGATTATTCAGATGTTAAAATTAATTATTCATCTGAAGTTTTTTGTGTTCGCATCGTGTCTGCTGCCGTTTCGGTCCAGTGCTGTGACAAGATATATGTTCTAAATGAATTAAATTGAATCTAATGTCATGTTTGTTCAGCACCAGGATGTTCTCGGTGAAGCCCGGCCTCCGTCACAGCGTCTCCGAGTGGAGCAGCAACAACCAGCAGCTGTCAGCCGACGCGCAACACGAGCGCCACGTTTCTGCCGCAATCCGGCAGGAGGGAAGGTCGCTGCGCAACCAAACCCGCTGCAAGGTGGCTTCACGCTCCACGGTCTCCCTCATCACCTTCTGTACGTGTCACTAAAGCTCCTGTTTTCTCTGCAGACGATCTGGGACGAGAGCGACTCGTCTCGGAGGCTCAGCGACCGGATCTGGGATGTGGCTCGTTGGAGGGACGCGTTGGAAAGCTGCGCTCAGAAAGTGGACGAAGAGATGGAGGCTCTGACGCTGGTGATTCAGGAAACAAAACAAAACAAAGACCTTGGACACATCTGAACAATCCCTCAAACTGTCGCGTCAAGTTTAGCAAACACAGGAGGAACCGTTAGCCAAAATGGCGCCATATTTCTGGATCTCCATTTTTAGCCTTTGAGCAGCAGGTCAGATTGAACATCCGTGTCTGCCAGGCTCACTTCTCACCCCGAATGCACAAGAACTAGCTCAAAAGATGTAAAAAAAAAAATCATATTGACCCCCAAAACAACCCAACAAGCAGGAAACGTTTCCCCAACGTTGGCTAACGTTTATTTTGCTACTTGACAACTTATTTTAATTTCGTTTTAACTTGAATAATATTGATTTCTAGGAACTAACATCTGACACTATTCGCCAAAACACATCAGAAGCCAAGTTAATTATTGCTTCAGCAGAATTTTCATACAAATTTGACAAATATTTAATGATTTCAGACAATTATATATTTCTAAACTCTTTTTATGTTAATATTCTTTATTTATTGCTGTCATGAAGGAGTCGCTGTTGGTAAATTTAATGAACACATCTACATTTTTTTTTTTTTTTTTTAAACCTAAATGATGGTTTTACACTGAAAAAGTAATATTGCACATCATTATGATATAATGTTGATGTAGTTTTGCATGTTAAAGTTACTTGGAGGAAAGAAGTAGTTGATTCTGAGTCTTGAGACGTTCGAATAATTCTACATTTTCTTTTTATTTCTCTGCTGTAAACAAAAGGCGCTGCTAAATATAGTTCAAACTTGAAATATTTAAACAGCTACCAGTTTTTCCGCCTTCACATTCTGTTTTTTTAGCACATTTTATTTGAAATAATGCACAAAAATGTCGGATTGCGTATCGCAAATGGCGGCCATCTTGAGAACTTTCTTTAATGAAAAACCAACTTGTGGCCCGTTTACGTGCTTTCATGATATAATTTAATACTTTGCTGATGTTTGCAGTTATCTTCCACACTATTCGTCTCTTCTCAGCTCAGTAAATATCTACAACATCTGCATTTTTTACATCCGTGTGGGTCCATTCGCTCCCACAAACGTCACTCCTCCAGTCCGCAGAGTTCTAACCTGAGCCTCGCTGTGTCTCGGTTCAGTCCAAAGAGCGGAGCGAGCAGAACCTGGCGGCCACTGCTGTTCCTCTGGAGGTCTCCTCCGAGTGCCTGACGCTGAGGGAGGGCCGGCGGGGCGTGGAGCTGGTGGTGGACCCGGTGGATGAGCAGCTGAAGGCGGAGGTGGAGCTGATTGAGCGAGTGCAGCAGGTTCTGCAGCAGCACGTCAACAAGGCCTTCGAGCAGCTGTGGTGAGACTCACGCCGACTTCTGCTCTTTTTGCTTCATGAATTCCAGCCTCTCAGTTGCTCTTGTGTCTCAGTGTTCTGCAGGAAGCTCGACACCAGCTGACCTCCGACCTCCAGAACAAGATGGACGCTCTGGATGTGGACATGTCCTGTCTGTCGCTCACCGTGGAGTCGCCTCTCATCTCCCTGAAGAACAACCCGACTCGTATCCCATCTGGGTAACGCTGGAGGAAAAAGTTCCCCCAGACCTCCTCAGAATCAGCTGGTTCTTTATCTACAATAACTTCAGTATATTTAATGAGGTTCTACCTTCATGCTGTGAATACTTCCAGAGCTCCAGGTCCTTGAAGGTCCAGATTAATGGACTTGTTCCATCATTTCTGAGCCTCAGAACTTCATCAGTACAGCAGACAGACACATGACATTTAGGAGGAAGAACACATCTGAGTTCTGCTAGAACCTGACACCAGATCAGTTCTACATCCATCCCGGTGTCTCAGTCTGAACACTGGACCTGGTTCTGTTCATGTCCTCTGTCAGCAGCTGGTAGCGTCAGTATTATGGGATGGATCATAGTGGTACCAGTTTAATGTCTATGACACAGAGTCACAGAAACAATCGTTGGTACCCTGGATGTGGTTCTGGTTCTGATCAGTCACCAGAGGAAACTTTACAAAGTGCATTCTGGGTAAACTTTCCAGGCTCATATCAGCATGTGTGATGGTGGTTGGTCAGAACCAGTTCTAGACAATGGAAGGACCGTTTGACCTCCAGAACCTACCAGCTGATCATCTGTAGACACGATTGATTTGGCGACAGAACTATTTTCTACATTACAAATGTAACCCTCCTCTATGGACTTTAAGGACCTGTGATTCTGAAGATGGTCATAACTTTGCACAACTTCTTTAAATCTACTGAAGTTACTGTCCAACAGAAATCATCTGATTGGGAGGAGATCTGATTAGAGCAGGGGTGTCGAACTCCGGTCCTCGAGGGCCGCAATCCTGCATGTTTTAGATGTTTCCTTCTTCCAACAGACCTGATTCAAATGATCAGGATCGTTATCAGACTTCTGCAGAGCTTGATGATGAGCTGATCATTTGAATCAGGTGTGCTGGAAGAAGGAAACATCTAAAACATGCAGGATTGCGGCCCTCGAGGACCACAGTTCGACACCCCTGGATTAGAGGCTTTGAGTGATTGTTCTTGGAATAACTCAGCTGCAGATGGAACTTTGCATCCTGGCGTCACACTGGAGCAGAGTACAGAGTTCTGCTTTAATGTCCAACCTCGTTTGTTAATCCGCTGAATGTCGTGGCTGCAGGTCCTCCAGCCCTCAGGAGTGGATCCAGTTCAGCCAGTACAATGTGGCTCGAGCCCATGAAGCCATGCAGGCGTCCCAGCAGATGAGGGAGGACATGAGCCTCACCAGAGCCCAGGTAGGAGTCAGTCAGACACTAAAGACTGGACTGTCTTTGTAGCTGAAAGGTACTGAACTGCCTGTAAAACTGCCCGAGGAAGGACCTGAGTACCGCATTATGAGTACCTGATAAGTGCTGCGTAGATCCTCAGCTTGGTCACAACTCGTAGACTGTGGTTGCAATTCAAGAACTCAAAAAGAAGTTAATTTGCCTTCAACTGAAGCACTTGCAATAAAGTCTTCTGTGGACGTTGGTGTAAAATGTCACACATGTGACTCCTTCTCAGCTGCAGAACGAGTTGGAGACTCAACGCAGAGCCACAGAGTTCGCTCTCCGAAAGCGCAACCACCACGAAGAGCGGGCCCGAGACGAGCTGGAGTGGCAGATAAGAAACGTAAGACATCTGATAACTTATTACATCAGGACGCAGCGGCTTGAAGAACTTTTACACCAACTGTTTTAGTCGAGGGCAGGAGATTTGGGGTTACAGTTAAAGATCCGGACAGAGAAAATCCAGATGTTACCTCGTTAACATGGGCTCCCACTTGTCCACATGTGTAGAGGTGAGTTTGGCAAGAGTTTAATCACATTTATCAAAGAAAACAATCTTTCTGCCTAAATTATGTTCAACCAACAAACTGCACTGATGGAATTAGCTTTTGTTTTTAATGTCTTGATGATTAGCAGTATATTACTCAAAAACTTAAGTTGTTCCAAACAGTATTTTAAAGAACGTTTTAAGTGTTTTGAACCTATTTGCTATGAATGCAAGTTGACAAAATATTTAAAAAATGAAGTTGCTCCAGTTGGTGCTTTTGTTTATCACTTAAATTGAGATTAAATAATTCAACAACTTAATTCTGTCAAATTTCTTTTAAACTGCAGTTGTGTAAAAACAAACAAACAATGAATTTCTGTTTAAATTACACAAAATATTAAGTTTCCAATAATATTATGTCGACTCATCAAATTTACATTTTGCATCCTGCACCTTTGCGTTCAGTTATTTGGTGGTTCTGGTTCCCTGAGTTGCTGTTGGGAGCGTGATGACTGGACTGGACCTGCAGTGTTTCTGACTGTCCTCACATGTTTCTGCAGACTGAAAATGAAATGTCAGAAATGGAGAACGACATCAGCGGTTTGGACGCTGACCTGCAGGCCAAGTCGACCAACCTGAAGCTGGCTCACACCCGGCTGGAGATCAGAACCACCAGACCCGGAATGGACCTGTGCAGAGACGAGGTTCGTACGGAGAGCGTGTCGTATGCAGAGGATGTTGTTCACAGCGAGGATCTGACAGAAGCTCAGAAAGGCTGGTTCTGGTTGGTTTGCAGGTGCAGTTTGGCCTCGTTGCTGAAGTCCAGCAGCTGGAGGCCACGATCACGGCTCTGAAGCAGAAGCTCTCCGAAGCTCAGTGAGTCACAATCATCAAGCTGATTGTTGTCTACTTTATTATTATTATAAACTAAGGTTTCGATACTGGGAACCCCAAACATGCAGCATAAAAACAAAGAAATTAAAAAGATGCTGTTCAGTGATTTGGGGAAAACCTTTCTGTCGATGACTCAAACAAATGCAAAAATACACAATAGATCATAAAGACAAGATGTGTCCAAATGTGACGTGAAGCACGGTGGTGGCAGCATCATGATTAAAGCATGGTGGTGGCAGCATCATGATTAAAGCATGGTGGTGGCAGCATCATGACGTTTCTTAGCATCACTTTATTTTGTGGAAATCTTTTTCTTACTTTGACATGAACGAGACGTTTTAATACAGCAGCAAAAAGGAAAAACCTTTAAAGGAGATAAATACGTGTCACAGGCTCTGTAGATGAAAGGTGCAGCCGGCAGATCCAGAGTGTTTCGAAAACCAAACCGACAAGATGTTCAACTAAAACTCCCTGCTCGTCTCTCAGACACTCTCTGCAGAAGATGAAGCTCTATCATGCCCGGATGCTGCAGGATCTTTCCAGAAAACAAGAAGCTCTGTCTCTGGAGCAGCGGAGCATGAAGACCCGAAACCGACTCGCTTCGGCCTCCGATAAAAGCCCGGCCCTGGTGGTCCCGCTCATGAACTCGAGTGGAAGAAGCAACTTAAAGCTGCTCGCTCAGTGAGTTTTTGAAGGAAAGGGATTCGATTTATTCAGTTTTAGCTCAGATATAAAACAGCAGAACGCAGCAGAGAGTCTGACCTTAGTTAGCACAACAAATGACTTTTATTTCTTCTGGTTTTGTCGTTATTTCAGCTCTCACTGTCGTCCTTTTCTTGTTTTTTAGACCTTTTCGTTTGCTTAACTTGCATCTACAGTCTCTGTGTTGTGTTGAAGTGCCTCCCTCATGTGTGTCTCTTTACAGCAAAGCATTGTCTCTAAAATGTGAATTAAAACTCAACCAAACGCTACATGTGGCCTCTACACGTTTCTACCAACATTTCCCACGTGAAAGCGCTCACGTTCACGTCTGCTCATTATTTCTGTCGACCTTTAACGGCTTTGTTTGTCTTGTTTGACCAACTGACGCCGTTTGGAGCATAAAGGCGGCGATAACGACGTGAACTTTGACTCCGGTTCAGATAAAAATAAAATTAAAAATAAAAAAAACTGCCAAACATGGGACCCCTGAGACAATAAATTACGTAAATCTGAAATGTCGCGGCGGTGATGTCTTCACATTGTTTGTGTCTCGGTCGCTGTCTTTGAGAAGTAAACGTTTACGTCGGGATCGTCTCTGACAATCAGCTGCAGTAAATCTCAGGATAATAAACTTTAACTCTGCAGGGAGACCAGAGGAAGTGAGCAGACAGCAAATCAGCGAGTGCAGATTAAAGGACGAACAGTGTTTTCTGTGGAAGAAAAACCCAAATACATTCATTATTAGTTTCATTTTGGCACTTTTAGCTTCTGTTAATGTTGGATTGTTTGCTCGCCTGCAAACAGATTCCACGTTTTTGCATCTCGACTTGACGTGTCACTGAGTAAAAACACCCCTTTTTTCCCAATAAATAAACTGATCAGCCACAACAACAACCTGCCAGCCATCGTGTCGGCTCCTTTGTAGTTTCCAGATGTCAGCAGCAGATCTGACTTCCAGAAAAGCCGCTCAGTCTGATCGAGATTTGGGAGATTTGGAGGAAACACTTTGAGCTCTTTGTCAGGTTCCTCGACCAATATTAACTCGTAGTTAGCTGAGGAGACGTATCAGGCCCGTTTCATTCAGTTACCTCGACTTGAATTTAGTTTTAAATCAAATTCTGAATTGCACACTGTAAAAAAATGACTTTTCAATCTTTCTTTCTTTTATCAGTTTACTGTTATTTTCTCTTTTTTGTGACATGAAAGACAATAAAAAGTATTGATTTACATGTTGTCTGAGCAAAACTACGTAGTTTACATCAAAACATTTTATTTTTTACAAATGCTGATTAATTCTTTAACATGTGACCTTAAATTTACCGTAATGTCCGGACTATAAGCCGCTACTTTTTTAACACGCTTTGAACGCTGCGGCTTCAACAACAATTTATGGATTTTTATGAGCTTTACGAATTCGCACCGAGACCAAAGTGACGCTGAGAGCGACAACGACAGAGAGACTGAGGAAGTGATGAAGTGATTCTGAGGCTGTTCAGCTCCTGAAGACACTGAAGAAGATGACTTTAGTGGTTTTAGTGCAGGAGGAAGATGAAGATGGCGATCAATGACTTTTCCTGGTAGCTGCTGGAGTTTTATTTCCTCAACCAGCCGTGTTACAGACGCTGTTCAGAAAAAAGTATCTACGGTACGTATTTAATTAAAAGTTAAAACATCTTTCTGTGTAAATATCTCATGTTCCAACGTGGACACCTGCAGCTTAGAGACCAGAGCAGCCTGGATATGAACACACCTGGTTTTCTTTTTAGAATTAGTGGGTGTGGCTGATATTCAGGTGCTCAATAGTTTGGAGATTACGGTACTCTATTTTTGTGAAACTTGCAAACAAAAAACAACAAAAAAAAACAGCACAGTTATTTTACTAAGATCTGTAAGGATTTGAAAATTGGTTTATAGTTTTGGTAAATTTCTAAAAACTATTTATTTTACAGATTTTTTGGTGAATTAAAGATAATAACTTGTAAAATCTCCCCATTAAAACAGTATTAACTGACATGTTGACAAGTATTTGCTCTTATTTTCACTGTTGTTGGAGTCGTTCATGTATTTTTCAGGCGCTGTTGCAGCCCAGTTTTTTTTTACACCAGTTGTATTTTTACAGTGCATGTTTTGATCCACTGCAGGTTGTTTTCTTGGAAAATCGTTTCTCCCTCAAATAAAATGCCTCTGCAACGAGCCCATGATTTTCTGCTCCATTTTCTCCACGTCGAGCGACACACCTACCACACGGAGGAACTAATCCTCCGTCATAAAACTGTTCACGCCACAAACAATCCGAAGCCCGGCCCGTCCCGTCCTCGCGTCCCCATCAGCTCGTCACATTTATGGCTTTACTGCCCGGCCCTCCAGTCGCATTCAGGCCCTGGAGGCTCGGCCACGCGCTTCCTGACAGCCTCAATTATTCTGAATCATTTCACTTAAGGGCCCAGATGCTACCTGTCCGCTGCCCTCCACTCAGAGGGCAATTAAGGCGGTCTGGAGCCGGTAAATGCCCCTCTGCTTCTGCATGAGCGGTTGCGTCTCCTTATCTGCACCTCATGATGTCGTCGGCGCCTCGCCCCCTTCGCGCCCCCTTCGTGGCCACCGCCTCTTTTTTTTTTTCTTCTTTGCCCTCAGAGGCAGTCGAGTTGGCACACGATGGAGGGAACACGTCGGCTCTGCAGCTGCCTGGAAAAAGGACCTGAAGGAGACTTGGTGGCTTCAAAGATGTGACCTCGTTTTAGTTTTCCGTCGGGTTTGTCATGATAAGCTGGCTGTCAGTGCAGAGATGCAGCTGACGCTGCCGGACGGCGTCGCTCTCACCGTCTACACCTTCACCTTCCTGCTCGGCCTTCCCGCCAACCTGCTTGTGCTCTTCGTCTACGTCCGTAAAGCTCGCAAGAGAGGCGCGACGCCCAACGTGGTCTACGCTCTGAACCTGTGCCTGGCCAACCTGGCGCTGGTGGTCTGGCTGCCCGTCAAAGCTCTGGAGACGCTGCTGCAGGACTGGATGCTGCCGCCGCCGGTTTGTCCCGTTTACACCTTCTTCCTGTACTCGTCATTGTACGGCAGCTGCCTCTTCATCACCGTGGTGACGGTGGGCCGCTACCTCAGCATCGCCTTCCCCATCGTCTACAAGCAGTACCGCCGCGCCCGGCTATCCTGTTTCATCAGCGTCGCCCTGTGGACCCTGGTTCTGTTCCACCTCAGCATCAGCCTGGTGGCCGAAGGCGGCGCCTACTTCGTCTCCACCAAAGACGAGACGTTGGCGTGCTACGACCACTTCAATGCGTCGCAGCTGGTGGTGCTGCTGCCGCTGCGCCTGGAGATGGCCATCGTCTTGTTCCTGCTGCCGCTGATTGTGACGACGTTCTGCACGTGGCGCTGCGTCACGCTGGTGTGGCGCTCGAACCTGCCCGCTGCAGGGAAGCGGAGGGTCCTGGCGGTGGCGCTGTCCACGCTGGCGGTGTTCGTGGTGTGCTACGCCCCCTACAACGCCTCGCACATCGTGGGCTTTGTGTTGCAGACCAACGTGGAGTGGAGGACGACCGCCATGCTGACCAGCTCCTGCAACGTCTTCCTGGAGCCCGTCGTGCTGCTGATGCTGTCGCCAGCAATGTCCAAGGGCATTCTGGGAAAGATCTGCGGGCGGCAGAGTCAGTACAGGCGGAGCGACGTGGGTCGGCCGCGATGCAAAGCCGCCAACGGGGCTGCGACCTTTAGGGCGCCGACCGTGTCGGAGAAGAGCCGGGCGGTGGTGGAGGTGACCAAAGTGAGTCAGAGGCAACGAATCTGAACGGACTAATAGGAAGAAATGGACAGAAAGAGGCTGAAATGTGAACTTAAAAAACAAAATGATGAAGAGGAAGACTGTCGTGGGTTCGACTCCCGCTCATGGCCCTTTGCTGGAGGTCTCTCCCCCTTTCCTGTCTCTCTCTACTGCTGTAAAATAAAAGTAAAAGCCAAAAAAAACTATTAAAAAATGAACTGTGAAAATCTGGCAGCAAGGTGCCAGAAATATCTATTAAGAAGTGGTAGAATACTGCAACATTTAACAAAATAAAAAGTTAAATTGTGAAAATAACTGTAAATATCAGTAAAATAATTGTATTTTTAATTAATTTAAATACAGTAAAAAGGGCTGCAAGGCAGATCGGTGGTTAGCATTGTTGCCTCGCAGCTAGAAGGTCGCCGGTTGGCGTCCCGGTGAGGACACCCGGGATCTTCCTGCGTGGAGTCTCCATGTTCTCCCCGTGCAGCGTGGGTTCTCTCCGGGTTCTCCGGCTTCCTCCCACAGTCCAGAAACATGCTGAGGTTAATTGGTGATTGTAAGTTGTCTGTAGGTGTGAATGTGAGTGTGCTTGGTTGTCTGTCTCTAAGTGTAGCCCTGTGATAGACTGGTTACCTGTCCAGGTGAACCTGCCTTCACCCTGAGTCAGCTGGGATAGACTCCAAAAAACATTGCAAAAAATGAATACATATTTGTAAAAATACAGATTTTTGATGTGGACATAATTTACAGTTTTGTGTAAAACATGTGAATTTATTTTTTTCTGTGATTTTACAAGCGGTTATCTGTAATTTAGAAATAAAAGGTGAAAAACTGTAAGATAACAATAAATTATTCAATAAAATGACACTTAAAAACTGTCAGTAGTCGTGTGTTACAGCTGAACTGTCACTTTCATTCCAATAATTTGATAAACAGCAGACTTTTATTTTGAAGTTGGGATCAGTCAAACAGCTGCTTGCAGAAAAAATATTCTTTTGTTCTGCTTTTATAAAATGTCTGCAAATCTGATGAAACACAATCATCTTCAGCAGTGTGGATGTTTGTTCTACCATAACTTCCTGTTGGGTCCAATAAAACTAATTGCAGCTGTAGAGAACATTTCAGACAGACTCAAAAAAAAAAAAGTCCTGGTAAAGGTGCAAGTTAATAGGGTTTTTTTTGCAAGTTAGACGCTGTGCAGGATCGTGCTGCTCGACTTTTTAAAATGAAAAGTGCAAAGAGCTGCTCTGCGTTCAGTCGCAGCAGCTGTCGAGAGGATTTGACTGCTCAAACAAATGAGATGCAAAACAAGAAGGAAACCTGCAGCTGCGTCAGCGTCTCTACGAGCAATTTACATTTTACAGACGACACAGAACGGAGCCGAAAACACGAATATAAACAAATATCCTCAGATGTCTTTGTCTCCTTCCATTAAAGAAAAGACAAAACTCACAACAGTCACTCAAATAACTAGAAACTGGAAAAAGTAATAATAGATAAAAATTTACTAAATTATAATTTAGTGAAATAAGATGTTGCTTTTGAATTGTGGTTGAAGTAGAATAGTTTAAAAAAACAGAACTGTCCTGGACCAATTAGAGCCCTTTGCTGATGAGCAGTGGTCCAGAATCAACATAAAACATTCGTGTACTGGTCCCGTCATGCTTGTTTGCTTCTCGTTGTTGTTTTTAATATAAATATTTCTGTTGAACCACAATTCAAAAGCAACGTCATGATGTTCATTACATGTTGATTTATGATTACTTTTGTCATTTTTGACTCATGAAGCTGTTCTTTAACGGGAGGATGTGATCACACGTGAGGACGACTGCATCGACACAAAACAGTAAAGAGAAAAAAAACATTTAGAATAAGACCTCACAGTGCAAATAAAACAGCTTCATTCATGAAACGTTGAGGAAAAGTTCAGTCATTTGTCTTTTATTCTGACTGACCTGATCAACTGTTCTACTGCAGGAGGTTTTTTTATTTGTTTTTAATTCACCGTCTCACTGCTGGATCTGTTCATAAATCATCACTGACTAGGAAGAACTGAATCAACTCAGACAGTCATCAGACACATCTGGGCTGATTCTGGTGTTCTGGAGCTTCTCGTCCTCTCTCTGCTTCTCTTCTGCTGGTTCACATGTGAGTCTTTTGCCTTTTTCTTTACCTCCCAGTAAACCCAGTGCTCCGATCCAGAACCAGCAAACCTCAACGTCTTAAAGCCCGCTGACCTGTTTAAAGGCCGACTTCACCCACAAATGTTATAAAAGCTTGTTGTGAAAGTCTATTCCTGTCAAACGCATCACGTTTTTACTGCAAAAAAAAAAAAAAAAAAGAGGAACCAGGAAATCCACCAGAGAAAGTCCAATAGACACCGAATATCACGATGTATCGCAGATTGTTGTCTTGCAGGATGTCGATTGAATCGCTGTATCGTCGGTAACATCTCGGAGATCACCACCTCTACTGTGTGGATCGGCGTTTTGCAACCAGCTGCCAGTTAAATCCGTGTCACGTTTTTGTCGTTCTTGACAGCGCTGTGGAATCCTGTCACACTGGTACCGGTCTGCTGGGTGGTTTTAACGCTGTTCCACAAAGTGCAGCACCAACAAAGGTGGTGGAAGAAATCGACCTACAGATTAAAGATCATTTGTTTTGGTACCTAGAATTTTTTTTGAGGGAAAGTTTTGACACGTATGTAAGTAGGAGGGGAAACATCTTCTGCTGTTACAGAACTAAAATAACTGTGTGTGTAGTTTATTGTAGTTGTTTCTGACTGAAAAA